AGATCCAAAGCTCCTTCAAGCTTCCAAGGTGGTTCTACTTCCTTCTTTCTCCTTCAAGATCACCAAAACACACCCACAAGTGAAGAATGCTCAAACAAGTGGCAAGAGTTTACAAAAATAAAATGGAGATGTTGGAGGCTGATAAGAGATGAGGTTAGAGGCCATAAAGATGGTTAAATATGGTCCAAAACCTAAATTTTAGGGTTTGAAACCCTTGCACGTACGCCCTGCGTACGCGACGTATGCCCAGGGTACTAAGCCCTCGCACGTACACCCAGCATATGCAACGTACGCCCAACATACTAGATATTGGCCCAAAATTACAAAAATGCCACTATAGGCCATTTTGCAAGCTTTCTCATACACAAGCGCTAAATAACATAAACCTTCATACTTAAGGGTTAAATTTGGAAATACCTCATTGCCTGGATGTTACAGTTCTCCCTCACGTAAACTAGACTTCATCCTCGAAGTCCGCTGCTACGAACATTTCCGGGTAAAGCTCCCGCATTTCAGACTCGAGTTACCATATCCATTTGGAACCCTTCCGATGCTACCACTAGACATTAACCAAAGATACCAACTTCTTGCACAAGGCATTCGTCTTCCGATCTAAAATCGCCACTGGTCTCTCAATGCATCCACAGAAGAAATTCGATAGGCCACTCGGAACCCAATTGATGCCAACTAACTACACAATCACTTGAAAACACTCAACTGCGACAACTACCTCTCTAACCCCAACTGAAGACCCAACTCATAGCGAAACCACTTGAACCGGGAAACTCTCAAGAGTGCAATTACAACCCAACTCCATCAATATACTCCACAAAACCGATGACCCATCAATCTAAACCCCATAAACCATGTCTAAATATTGATGATCACCCACCAGTCGTACTTACCCCTAGTCTCTTACTAGTAACACCAGAAAACCATGCAGAATGAATACTCAAAACAATCTGATCATGAATATCAATAAATCTAAAATCTGGAATTTAGGCCCTAAAGACCTCAATGCACCTTTCTTGACAAGCCATCACTATCCCACCGTTCCCACAAGCATAACAGTTATCAATCCAAAAGAAAATCTTGTGCGACATCCAAACTCCTATAACAGCTACGGTGCCCAACCATCTGAAAAATCATCCAAGAGTCTTACTGTGAACTACATCACTAGAAAATTAACTCACACGAAACCATTCTCACAAAAACGAACAAGGATCCACTTAAGAAGAAACTCAACAAGGAACTGTCGATAAACAACCATCACTTTTCCAACAAGTCAATATCCTATAAATATCCATCCCCAACCTGCCGACCACTAGGCCCCTAGTAGCAACACCATATGACTCTAGCCGCTAACTATGGCGATGGACTAACCAACTAAGACCCGAAGGTCTCATCCACCTAAGTCATATCCATACTGGTTCATGATACATCATTACACCACGCACCCATTAGAATGATAAGCTCACGATTCTACAACGTTCTCACCATCATCCAACCATGAGCCTAAAGACTCATGACTAACGCCTCAGTGGGCCCATAAGCACACGTCCATCCATCCCAGCGACCTATAGGAACCCAATCAACATCCCTCTCAATCACTATCTAAACACGTTACGAGCCAAACCCTTCCATAATGCATAATTCCCTACACAGCACAGGCTGCTATCAACGTAAAATCAGACGAAAACATGGTCGTACCCAACCGACGAATGGGATAGGCGGTTATACTCTTGCTCCAACTCAAGGGCTACAAACCAATCAAAAACCGTACCAATGCATTTGCACCAGGTGTTATCATGCTATCTTACTCAATCCATATATCCCTCCTCAGGACCATATTTGATGAGCTACCACAATATACATCCCCAAAGGGGAATACATAAACATCTCTAGATCTACTACATTCCTTCTTCCTCACAACCTTACCCAAAGGGTGAAGTGTAAGTAGAATATTTAATGAAATGGCGATCCTCAATCGTTATCAGTAATATCCTTATGAACGACTGAAACCAGATCCCACACCTTGATTAAAACTAAATAGATTCCACCAATACGTAACTAGCTCGAGAAGACTTCCAATGTAATCTAGAAATTCTACCCAAACTTTAGTCGGATCATTACCACTACAAACCATACCGACACAACATGCCAAAATTAGATTCTATGCAGATCAAAGTCACATATGGAAAACTGAACAACGTTGCCCTAAAATCCGAACTTCCAATAACCAAGGACAACTACCAAACTTGAGCATGCTATGAACCAAAATTCCACACCACAATTGAGGGTAAACATACTCAGAAACCAAAGAAAATATAAAACATACGGGACTTCACGATAGGTTGATGCATCCATTGAACTTCAACTGACACAACTCGAAACTTTCGAAGAACCTCCGCTTTTGACGATGAGCGAATATGACCAACGATCGAAAATGCATTGACAACTAACCTAATAACCCAACACACTACTAAACAAAACCCCTGTAAAACTAAACACACCAAACTATGAAGCAGATTTACCGATCAATAACTACCCACCCTAGAATATGGATAACAATCTATACAACAATTTGAAAAATCCCTCAGCACTCGATGTTCAACCTGAGTGTCCCAAAGACCTCTTGATCTATTCACCGGCATTCCGAAAGGAACCACTAGCAACAATAAGCCCCTTGTCCAATAGATTCCTACCGTGAAGGCAACTCATGCATTCCTGAGCATATATATCCGGTGGCAATTTGCTCTGGACCCCCTTCTTGACCAAATCTTAGACCAAAGTCTCGCATACCCGAACCGTATATCCCTATGACCCATTCTTCTGATACCTTAAACTGAACATACCAATGATCCTCCAAGCAGAATGCCTAATTCTTCCCCATTTAGGGTTTGAACTACCACCCACTGGTGTTGCAACCAAAACATATATCAAACTGGTTTAACCAGGTACAAACCATTTCTGACTCTTCGAATGTATAACATACACAAGATGATCTTCTTGATAAGGACCAATCAAACCTTAAGAGATTCTGAATTTCAGATGAAGACCTCAGAAATTTTGCAACCATAATCACCTTTAACATTAAGGATTTCTTGCAAATGCGTAAGCAAAACACCAACTTACTATCCAAAACATACGCTCCTCGCCTACAATCCCGATCGTTAATATGGTACTTGGCCTGCCTATATCCAAAGAAAACAGACCCTTGATCGCATCACTAGGCATCCATATCACATCAATCCTCCTGTTTATCCACACACTGTCATATTGCCGCCAAACACCGCAACCAACTAGCCCCATGTTAAGGTTTACATCCTAACTCTGAATTTGGAAAACTGAAAGGACGTAATCCTTGCCCTAGATAGCGACATTCCAATCCATTAGTTAACCACTCAGCTTCCTGTTAGAATAATATTTAAGATCGATAGATTTTATAATAAAGAACGTGAATTAAATGACAAGAAAACAAAGATCAAAAGTGTGTCTGATGCTTTGATTAATCGACTCTAGAAGAGTTCTCAAGAACTTCTCTATAAGAGCGTACAAACGGCAATTAGGGTTGAAAAACGTTAACCCTAATGATACATGCATGCAATATATATAGACTGGACTAGAAAGCTAAGCCGAGAATGGACATGCCCAAACTGCAATAAAATAAACTATAATATGCATACATTTGACACAATACTATTAAACCCAACAATCTCCCTCAAAATCAGAAGGAGAGTCTTTATAGTTGTCTTTGTTGCGCGTTGAACAGTTTGGGCATCAAACTCAGAAGCACATTTCGGACACAGAGATACCATCTAATCATATCCGAGAAGTATTTCAGATCTGCTTATGTGTTCATCTTGCATGTTTCAACCATTGAGAGAATAGTCTTCAGAGCGGCAGTTGAGTAGAGATGTGTGTGTGTGTGTATATATAACTCCGCCATTTATAAACTTTTTAGTTTACTATTGTCGGTCTCAAGCCCGAATAAAGGAGGGGGTCTTATAACATTAAGTATAGTAAAGACCAAATGACCCCAAATTTTTGATACGCTTAAAGCCACTAGCTGTTTGAGCCGCCCCTGATACACATTATCAAATATGGATAATACAATAAAATAGAAGACTAAATATATAACCATAACTTACATTAATAATACAATACAACATTTTAAAACACAAATAATTATATATATAAAAAATTGTTATGTGCAAATCAGCTACTTTAAAAAAAACATATAAATGAACTCATCAGGTTGAAAAACAGCCTCTCTTAACGAGTTAATCTCCTTAAAATTTTAAACTCTTTCTTTTACTCCTATGGAAAACCCTCGCTATATACCCTTTGTTGTAAAATATCCCATGTTATAAATGACATGTTCGGCAAAACTAGCTGCTAGCGGGTAGCGCTGCGTGCCGAACACGCCCAAAAACTAAAAATTGGGGCAACATCATCAAAGCCATCCGTTGCAAGGTTTGCATCCGAGAAAAACCCGGATTTCATAGATATTATGGGTTTTTACCTTTTTTAATAAAAAAGTCAGCATTTCATGGCGATAAATATTAAAAACAAAAAAAACTCTATCCAAAAAATACTATATTCCACGTTGTTAAGGAGTGGAAGACATTTGTGGGTTGTTTTTAATAAAAAAGAATAATGCAATGGACTTCTTTTATTCTCAAAAATGGAAGTTGACATTAATTTTCAAAATTTTATTCTCAAAATCGTGTTGACCTGGCAACGACTTCTTTTCACGTACGCTAATTTCATATTATTCTAACTTTTATAGTAATGATAACATGTTTATATTATTAATTTGTCTTAAAAACAAAACTTGTCGTCTTCACAAGCACATACATTATTCCCTATCTTCTCACAATTCTCATTACAGAAGCAAAAAGCTTTATGTTTTCATATTTTCTAAATCTTCCTTCAGTTTTAAATCAAATGGGTTTGATTTAAAGTCCTTCTAAAATCCAACCTCAAAACCAGAGACAATGGGGAGGATTTCACCAATCAAAATTGTACTACAATCATTTACAGATAGTGAATACATCATCATCATAGATAAAATTATCGAGATATGGGGACAATTGAAGGTGATAGTTTTGGAGCCATTGTTGAGAATGTTGATGTATGTTTCTCTTGCGATGTCTGTAATGTTGTTCATAGAGAAGGTTTACATGTCTTTGGTGGTTGGATTCAATAAATTATTTAAGAGAAAGACAGAAAAACGTTACAAATGGGAAGAATTTAAAGATGATGTTGAATCGGAGAACTCTGTTTATCCTCTTGTTCTTATTCAAATTCCAATGTTCAATGGGAAGAATTTGTTTTATTTTGTAAGGAGGTTTATCAGCTTTCCATTGGAGCTGTATGTGGGCTTTCTTGGCCGTCTAATCGTATTGTAATTCAAGTTCTTGATGATTCGACAGATCCCCTCGTCAAGGTTGATAATTTTTTTTCAATGCAAACTCATTTTTATAAAAGATGCAAAAATGATTTATCCTTTTTATTTTTATTTTTATTTTTTTTATTACTTTGTAGCATGAAGTGAGCAAAATACATTAAGAAAAAAAGAAGGTGTTTCTGTTTATAACCAAGTTGTTTTAATTAGAAATTAGAACGTCTATAATGCTAGCTTTTTATTATTTGAAAACACTTTTAAATTAAGTCTTTTTTTTAAAAAATTTCAGTTTTTTAGTTATCTTATAAGTTTTGTTTATTTTGACATTTATATTTAATAACAATTGAATTTACATTCTACTTATATCTTAATATCAAATTTTTATTCTTTTATTACTAGTTAATCTATTTAGAATATACAAAAAAATATTTAAAAAAAAAAATATGTCATTAACAATATTATTTTCTAAACTTTCAAAATAATAAAAATATCCAAAAATAATGTCACATAACATTTTATGGTTTTATTTATTTAATTAAGCATTAATGAATTTGAAAATATGACTTATTGTTAAAAATATGACACAATATATAATTAGATTTTTTTATAACTTTTACGATAAATTAGTATTTTTTAGAACTTTTTGCTTTTTAAAAATTAACTTTTAGAATTTTTTGTTTTTTAAAGTTAGTCATCGTAAATGTTTTTTATAATAGTTTTGTATCTAAAAGATAATGTGACAAAAATAATAATTTTTTGGTTTAATTAGGAGATACCCTTGGCAATGATATATTCAAGAGACCTACAAATTTATATATATTTTTTAATTTAATGACTATTTTATTTAGAGTAGAGTTATACATTATAAAAAAAAAGTAAACTGTAAATTTGGTACTTATGGTTTGTAAAAAAAAAACTATGGATGAGACCCAAAATGTTTTTGACTAACATCATTAACCCAAATTATAAATTTTTATGTGTTTTTGGTCCTAATGACTTTTATACCCTTTCCATTTGATTTATTATTATTATTTTTTAATATTCTCCAAACATTTTAATAAGCATAATATGAATTCGACTTCTAGGTTTTGCTAGGACTCGCATAACATAATCACACACAAATTTCTCTCCACCTAATAATATCATCTTCCTTGTACCTTTATAACTTCTATGGTGAGCTTAAGAAAGATACAAAAATACTCCAAAAACAAAACCATTGAAGTTAAATTAAGAATAATAGTAGTTGTTTGTTTGTTCATGATAAGCTCAAGGGCCGGATTTGAGGGGGGCAAGGTGTGCCGTCGCACAGTGGCCCGAAAAAATTAGGGCCCGAGATTTAGACATATTATATATTTAATATTTGTATAAATAATAAGTATTTCAAATAAGAGCATAAGTTTCATATTGCTGAACGGGTAAGGGCGCTACTGATTATTTAACTTAAAGTGAGAGCACCATGTTCGAATCTTGTCGTTGTCATTCTTGCTTTTTTGTATGGCCTAAACTTCCTTTGAGTGCTTCTTCTAAATTCTCGTTATTTTTTTTTCTTTCTAAATTATTGTAATTGTTTTTTTCTTTCTAAACTTCCTTTGAGTGCTTCTTCTAAATTCTTTTTATTTTTTTTTCTTTCTAAATTATTGTAATTGTTTTTTTTGCTAAGAATAAGATTGCAAGATTCATTCATATAATATTTTATTAAATTGTTAAGTAATCTTTTTGTTAAAAAATTAATTACTTTTATTGAGTTTTAATACACCATGCATCAATTTGTTTCACTAATTATAATGACTCCCAAAAAGATAATTATATTGATGGCTTCTAGTTATAAGCATGGAGTCTTTGAACGGTTGAAGGAGAGTAGATTTCTGTCACATTTTACTAATGACCAACTAACCTTTAACATCTTCGTTTTATTAAAATATTTATATATTTAGTGAAATTGTAGTATAAAATATTCGGTCCGAAACAACTAGTCGGTACTCATGAAAATACTATGATTTTGTTATGTTTATTGCTATAAAATTTATAATCATTTTAATGTTGAGGCCTAAAGGCCTTTTTTTTCTGACTCGTCTGGGGCATTTAAATCCTCAGGACTGGACTTGATAAGCTCTATAAAGGATGTAGAACGGATTTCAATCTTAGAAGATAGGAACATGTAATGTCATTTTTGAAAAAGTCTCCAACAAAAAAAAATCAAGATTCTTAAACTAGTCAATCAAGTAATGAGAATTCAAGTGCAAAAGCAGTCAAATTAAGAAATCAAAATCGAAAAAGGGAAAAAAATATAAAGGTATAAAAGTTTCAGATATCTGAAATCACCAAGCTTGCCAAAACACTGATTTTTAGATGTTGTTTTGATTTTCAAAACTTATCAGTCGTCATTTTAGAATGTAAATATATGTGTAGAGTCCAAATTTGTCTCTTCAAAACAAACCTTATAGAAAAAAAGGAGTCTCCAACACTTATAGTTACTTATAATAACGTGTTGAACCGATGTAAGATTCATGAGAGAGAGAGAGTCATAATAAGGTTTTTCTGTTTAAACGGTTAAATTTATATATTTAAAATCATTTCACATTAATATGAAAAAAGTTTTTGAACAATATATGAATTATGAAACAATATAAAATTATGTTACTAAAATATGTAACATGTTACTTCTAATTTGTTTAACTGGTAAAATTATTGTTTATAATACATCTTAGTTACACAAACCGGTTAACTAATAAATAAAACATTGTTGCAAATTTTTTTTAACAAGTAAAATAATATTGCTTAAATAAGCATTTAGTCGGTGTTATCTATGTCATAAGATAATCGACTCCATGTCATAATGTTGTTATTTCTAAAACTAAACGTAGTTGTATATTTCATCCAAAAAAAATAATAATAACAATGCTACTATTGTACGAGGTAGAACATTAGTATGCGTAAATAATCCTTTAACATTTATTTATATATTTTTTGTATGCACACAAAAATACACAGTTGTTTATGTATGCATTATATCCAAAATAGGATACTAATTTTCTTTCTTTCATAATTTGATTATTTTTCGTGCGGATTCCAATGAGGGAATTAGAGTTTGGTGGAAGTGGAGTGTGAAAAGTGGTCAAGTAAAGGTAAAAACATACACTACCAATTGAGACACAATCGAAAAGGATACAAAGCTGGAGCACTTAAAGAAGGTTTAAAGCATTCTTACGCCAACGAGTGCGAATATGTGGCTATTTTTGATGCTGATTTCCAACCTGAACCGGATTTTCTTAGGAAAACTATCCCGTTCCTTCATCATAACTCTCAACTCGGTCTTGTTCAAACTCGTTGGAAGTTCGGTAATTTCCTTCTAAAAATTGCTCATTTTTTGTTTTATATATTTTCCATTTATTAAACAATAAATATTGTGCTTTTAGCCTCCACGATTGGAGTTTAGTGATTGATGTGCAACATTTTACTTAAAGGTCAAATGTTCAAGCGGCTTCATCATGCCCAAAAAGTTAATACTGTTCCTTGATCTATGAACTTCTCACGTGTATAGTAACATGAGCTTTAGATGATGCATATTATCATATGTTTCTAATATTGAGCGTTTAACTACAAAACTAGTAAATCTATTTTTTGGAATGGTAATATTATATTAACAACCTTGCAAGGTGCTTGGCAACAAAGGAACTCCCTGAACTTTTTTTCGAAATGTATTACTATTATAAATTTTACTTTTAATCTTATAAAAGATCAATTTTGAATATTTTTTGTCAACTACATAACATGAAATAGTCAACAATTAATTTATTGAAATATTATTTTAAGATAAAATTGCAAAAATTTCCATGTGGAGTGTGATTTTATGCGGCGATGTTTCCTATTGTTTAAAAATTACAAATTTCATGCTTTCCAATAGACTTTTCAATAGGTGTTGGATTTGGTCTATTTCATAACTGAAATAACTAGTTTGTTCTTATTATATTTCTTTTTCTGTTTTCTTTCTTTTTCTAAGTATTTTAATATTATTAAATATAAAATCTCTCTCTCTCTCTCTCTCTTAACCCTAAATACTATATCTCAAAAGATCACCATCTGCCACAACCGGAACGACAACAATCATACTCACCGGTTTTGATCCACTGCCGCTAGAAATCTCCTAATCCTTTCATATTTTTCAGTTTTACTCAACCTCTACCTCCTTCATGGACTACTGGATGTGCACTTTGCCCCCAAATCATAGCCAGATCTTTACACTGTCACCTGATTGTCATCGATCATCACTCTACCTACTTCAAAGCCACCTTCCATTGTTGGACCTAGGGACAATTTCAGTGTATATCTTGAACCCACCTTTAAGTTTTAATTTCAAGTTTCATGTTTCAGGTTAGGGTTTAATTTCAATTTCAAGTTTTATTTATTTATTTATTTTTTGTAGGATTTAGTTTTGATAAGGATTGATTGAGTAGCAAAATGTGTGAGTATTTTAGGTTTCCGGTAGGCACAGTAGTAGTGGATTTGTATATTTTCTAGAATTTTTAGAATTAGTGGTGGTCAACGACTCAACGGTAGTGGTAGTGGTGGTAGGTAGTGGTGGTAGTCGACAATTTTTGTGGTGGTGGCTAGGGTCCTCAATTTTTCGGAGAGATGAAGAAGGAACGAGATAAAGTTAGAAATGTTTGAGAGAGAGACGGCGTCCTCTTTTTATATTTAATAATAATAAAATATTTAATAGAAGAAAAGAAAAATAAAAAATAAATGAGATTTTGTAAGGCCTAAATTCATATATAAAAATTATTAATTATGAAAAATATTATCAAATTAAATGTAAAATACATTAATTATAAAAAATATTTTCTATAATTAATAAATTTCATATTTAATTATGTTAATATTCCTCATAATTAATATTCAATTGTTGCTTCTTATATGCCCTTATATGTGCTTTAGAAAATCCCAAAATAAATATATAAGAATGTTATTTTAGTTTTGGAATGCCACCAAAACCCACAATAAAACATGTTAAAAACACAAAAACACGGAAATTATAATTTTGAAACAAAAGTCGATTATATTGGTGCTCTTTGAAAACATTGTTTTGTTTTATTATTAAAATAGAAATGGTAAAATAAACAAATAAATAAATCAATAAAAAAATGAATAAATAAATAAGTATATTACAATAAAGATGTAAAGGCCTATAAATATTTTTATCCATTTTTATAAACATGACATGGTTGTATTATACTTTTTAATATTTTTTTTACGACATCACGACAAAATTAACATGTCTTTATACAAGATGCACGATACTAATCAAAAAATAATCCAAATTATATACTAGTAAAACCATGCTGTGCACCACATACCGTATAGGCACATACTGCGGTATAGTGCGTTATGTGGTGAACACCGCACCGATCCCGGAATGAAAAGTGTGGTATGCTTGACGCACGTCACACTTTTATCGTACCTTTTTTTTTTCTTTTTTAATTATTATTAAATCACACACACACAAAAACACACACACACATATAATATATATATATATATATATATATATATATATATATATAATTACAAAAAATATACAAGTTAAAAAGTAGCTTATAAGTTAGTTTTTTAAATAGCTAGTTATACTATCTTTTTAGGAGTTTTTTTAATAATTTTCAAATATACCCCTTAGTTAATTATAAAAATACATTTTTTAAATGTCTTTTTAAGTCATTTTATATATTTCAGCTAGTTTACCAAACGATATTTTTTTATCAGCTAACTTTTCAGCTATCAACTAACTTTTTATTTAACAACTATCTTTTCAGCTAACAACTAACTTTTCAGCTATTACGCCAAACATAGCCTAAATTTATGACTTTGAGTTAGAAACAAATAACTAAATATAGAGAAACAAACAAAATTAATTTTATTTAGTTATGCTATCTTGATATTGTATTTTTTTTTCATTTAACATTATGTTTTGAACATTTTCTTAATTATAATATTTATGTATCTAACCATTTTTCTTATTATGTCACTTACTTAAAAAAAACTATATTTTAATAATGTCGTTATGATAAATTACATATTTAAAAAAATAATAATAAATGTATATTGCTATTCATTGCAATTAACCACAAATCAACATCGAACTACTTGTTATTTGATAATATGCCATGATAATACGATAGGATGAGAAAACGTAAGTTAAATACAATATAACCGAAATCATTATCATATTCTTTTAGAAAAATTAAATATCATCCTACTTTTCTTACTAATTATCCTCCTACCCATTTAAAATTATGACAAGTGTCCTAAAATATCATTAATTTTATCTAAATATGACACTTGTCACAATTTCATGTGGGTAGGAAGATAAGTAGGAAGAAAAAGTAGGAGGATATTTAATTTCTCTTTTATACCATGCTATTCTCAATAGTAATACAAAATTACATTTGGTGAGTTATAAAATTTTACCATATTGGTTATTTTATTTTTGTACTTTACCGTAATAGTCGATCGCTTTTCATATTTAAATTAAGCATGTGATCATTATATGTTGCAGGTTAAAGAATGAGAATCTGTATAGGAGATTTATAACATTGAAGTTTAGATATATATTATGTTAGCTGTTAAGATAACTATTCATGGACTGTTTGTTCAAATCATTAGATGACACTTTGTGATAGCATCCAGCTTCGAACTATGACCATTTAAATTTTATATTTTAAGCATCCTTTTTGAACTTGAAGAAAATGAAATAGAATACATGTATGTATTTGCTTCAGAACCAAGTATTATTATGTTGTATCTAAGGATCTAAATGAAGTGCAACAGATGCGAATCATTCACCATTCTTGTGGAGAATATTTTGCTCTTTTTTGGAACAACTTTTGCGGTTGTCTTTGTCGATTATCATGTTTCAGTTCAAATCAGTTGTCAGTTACAATTACTTACCCTTAAATGATAAAAACATACCAGATAAAGTTTTTGTCGCATACACTAGCCATCGAATGTCAAGTTTCTATTGCTAGTTATCCTCAAATAGCAAATATTCTAGGCCTCGTGTATTTATTGTTACATGAAAATAGTATAAGAAAATAGAACTAATACTTTGTATTGTGAAATGATGTTGCAGTGAACTCGGATGAGTGCTTAATGACAAGAATGCAAGAGATGTCACTTAACTACCACTTCAAAGTGGAGCAAGAAGTTGGTTCTTCCACACATTCATTTTTTGGCTTCAATGGTAATAGAAATATATGGTGCTTAAAGATTGTAAAAACCATTTAATTGTAATCTTCTATGCTTTTGTAGGTACTGCTGGAGTTTGGCGAATGGCTGCACTTAATGAGGCAGGAGGATGGAAGGATCGTACCACAGTTGAAGATATGGATCTAGCCGTTAGAGCTAGTCTTAAAGGCTGGAAGTTCTTGTACCTTGGTTCAATACAGGTGAAGAGTGATTTGAACATACATTTATGATATATACGACTTCAAAAATTTGTATTATAAGCTTACTTTGGATCTTTATGTTTTGTTATATAGGTTAAAAATGAATTGCCAAGTTCATTTAAAGCCTATCGCTACCAACAACATCGATGGTCTTGTGGTCCAGCAAACCTTTTCAGGAAAATGGTTTACGAAATCATGATAAATGAGGTGAGATCATTATATTAGTATCATTTTCTTTTGGTTCGAAGACTTTAAGCATATATGCGATCAATGGATTAATGTGTTGTGAATCTTTTACTTTGTTATGCAGAATGTTACATTGCGGAAGAAGCTACATGTGATCTATAGTTTCTTCTTTGTAAGAAAGATCGTAGCTCATATTGTTACATTCGTGCTCTATTGTGTTGTAATTCCTGCAAGTGTGTGGTTACCTAAAGTAGAGGTTCCGACTTGGGGTACCATTTACATCCCAACCATCATCACCATTTTGAATGCTGTTGGAACTCCAAGGTTTTATTTCTCTGATTCATCGTCTCTTGGTAAGAAAATGTGTTTTTGTTTTAACTTCTAAGGGTTTTTTTCCCACTATGTAGGTCTTTATATTTAGTTGTATTTTGGATTGTCTTTGAGAATGTCATGGCCCTCCATCGAACTAAGGCTACATTCATTGGAATTTTTGAGGCTGAAAGAGTGAACGAATGGGTCGTTACTGAAAAGCATGGAGATGATTCCAAGCCTAAAACAATAACTAGTCAACATGAAATGCGTGGCTTCAAATTAAGCGAAAGGTGTGTATTCTTAATGACATGAATAGATTTAAGAAAGACAAGTAAACTAAATAATAATCACGTGTATCAGATTTCAAAAGTGTACGGTTTGTATTGATTTTAAAAAGGAACCCAAGTATGGAAATAGATTATATCATTTAAATTACATAAACCTTTAAAGATTACCTTAATTATCATAACATACATAAATATCTAACAATATATATTTGGACTCGTACAGGCTTCTTGTGGTAGAGTTATGTATGGGTATTATCCTCTTTGTATCTGGTTGTTATGATCTTGCATTTGGAAAGAATTACTACTATATTTACATGTATCTACAAGCTATCGCTTTCATCGTAATGGGTGTGGGTTTATATTGGCACTTAGGTCCCTAAATCTTAAAGGACTCCTTTATATGTACATTTTCATTGGCAATCATTTTATCTTTGTGCCCTTGATCCTTTCATCATTATCTTACAAATACAATTTTGTTTGAGAAAGTGAAACTTTCTTTTAGTTCATTTGATTGTTACCATTGTATATATACAAAATAAATCAAAATAGTTGTGTACGAAGAAAAAACGAACACAAGGACAAAGGTCTTTGAATAAGGTAGGCGTGGCTTCATGAATGGTTAAAAAGCAGAAGGGTTAATGTATTTGTAATATTTCGATTATGTAGGTTTTGTTTGACTCTTATGATTCATATTCATTTCGTATGTATTTTTTTTTTTGAATAATTAATGAAATAGTTATGTTAAATAAATTGTTAAACCGAATGAAATTGATATGCTATCATGTATTGACAAAAAGTAAATGATATTGTCCTAAACACCAAGAAACGTAGGTCCTAACTGTCTATGCATAACCTCTACTGCATTAGTGTATGACAATATAACTCGGTTCTCATGCACACAACTGAATTTTATAATGAAATGCAACCAGATGTTTTTACTATTTTATTTTTTTCTAAAATCTTTTTTATTAATTCTATAAATCCAGTAACAACATGCTTACGATCAAGAATTCACAAGAAAGAACATATGTATGACATAAAAAAAAGTCATTAATTTGTTAAGTTTCTACTACATCATAAAACTCGCATAAATAGTTAAAGAAAGAACATCCATGATCCCATGGACCGCCTAAAACATCAAACATAACAGTTCTAAACTCTACCTCAACTGAAAAAATAAACACCACAAATAATGAGTTTTTCCATCATTACTAGCAAATGGAAGTAACTGACATAGTTAACACAAGGCAACATAATAAGTAATACTCTCAAAAGACATTAAAGTCCAACAAACCTGAAATTCCTCTCATCAATTTAACGTTTTTCAAGATAACCTCATCTTATTGTATAGGGACAGTCTAAAACATCAATTAGGTGTAGTTTGTTTTTAAAGATGTAAAACATCTACCATCTACATACTACATTTGCAGACATCTGTAGAAGAAGAGGTGGACCAAAATTGTTTTTTAAACTCTAAAGACTACTAAAATAAACTAAAATTTAAATAAACCGATTTTTTTTTAAACTTAAAAGACTTTTCAACACTAAAATCTAAATAATTTTAGTTTATATATATATATATATATATATATATATATATATATATATATATATATATTTCATACAACAACCATAATAACTTTTTTAAAAACATTTTTGTTTTACGTTAAAATTACGTTGTAGTCTTGGGTTTAATTTATAATATGTTGTCTTAGTGTCGATTTTTCTTGCTTCATCGCTTTCTTTAGCATCAATGTACGTAGGAATCTAATACTCGAAGGGGATGGAAGCATGTTTCTTGAGGAACTTATAGAATGCTATTACTGTTTGATCAATACTTACATATATCTTTCATACCAACACAAACCATTATTGAACGACGCAATAAAAAGGATGCAAAATAGAATTCGAAAATACAAATATTTTGTTACATACACTTGACATTCCTTACATGGTCTTCTGACACTCACATATGGTTTTTTCAGACCACACCATAAATAATAATAAAAATTTGTAATTTTGATATATAGAAGGCTTAACGAATCATATGTTCACAACTTCAGCTGCCAAAAACTAGCAATGTACTCTTGAGACAACACCATAAATAGCAATCAAGATTTGAATTTGATATCAGGAATCTCATCAAATCCAATGTTCAAAACTTCAACTGCCAAAAAAATAGCATTGTATTCTTGAGACAACAACATAAATAGCAATCAAGTTTTGACTTTTGAAATAGAAGGCATAATAAATCCAAGGGGATACCCATGATAACAACACACTTCAAAAACTGAACACAAATAATTAAGATTAATGGGTGGTTTTGATTTGGAATCGTTGGTGGATGCAACAACATGGGCGATTTGAGTTTCATTACACCAAAAATAATTTCATCAGCTAAATAACCCAGAATCATGTTCACACTTCAGCAAGTATAATCAAGAAAGCATATTTAAAAAAATTACCCAAATGAGGTTCACATTTTCATCACAAAAGTCCAATTTCGTGAGAGGCAAATGATCGAACATTTGGTAGGCAATTTAAAGTTAAAGAAATTCAATGCAACAAATGTAAACATTTGATTTTAGATTTCTAATGATTGAATAACAACCCCTAAAAGAGGAAAACAATAGTAAACACATGATTTTAAATTTAATTCAACAATGTAAACATCTACAACTTTAGAAGAACTAAACTTTCTTACCGGTGGCGAGTAGAGGACATAAGAGAAGGGCATGGAGTGCTTGGCGTCAAGGATTTTCATTAGTAAAGACATCAAGGGGCTCTCACCGACAAGTGTCCTTGGTGTCCGAAGATGTCCGACGAGATAACATCGACATAGGGAAGAAAGGCGAAGGCATTTTGCTCGTCTGATACGACATTTTCTTCCTTTTCAGGTGATCTAGTATCTGAACAAGAGTTCATATGGAGATGGATGAAGGGTGACGAGAAAAGAAGGGAGAGAAGGCTTATGCGGTCTTTGAAAAAACAAACAGTATGCGAGCCAAAAATCTTTGTCAATCCGCAGGTTAAAGGAGGTTGAATGAGCTTCTAAACAAAAAATCAAACACCACCTTAGTGTGTATTGTCAAGTGGTGATGTGACCATATCAAACTTAAGTCAAGTAATAACATATTAGATTGAAATCTATTATTTTTATTCCTTAAAACTAGATAAAACTAGAATCCCCAACTCGTATGAACAGGAGACTAACAAAAAGATTATTGATGTACTACATGGGGATCTTCTGGTTATGACATTCCGGTGAAGTAGTGGTAAGAAACAATATAAATGTTTGTAATAAGGAGAGGTGATGATGGCTTACATCGGTAGAAGTACAACAAAATAAAGGTGGCAGTGCTTTTGCTCCAATGGTGGTTGTAAGTAGAAGATATGATATTGACTCGGGATTTCTCTTTGTTTTTGGTCCGGTAAGTGAAATAAAAAATAATGAAGGCATGATGTAGGTGCACGGAAGAGGATAGGCGGCAATGCTTTCCGGTGGTGGTGGTAAGGAGGCAAGATGATGCGACTAAGGTTTTTCATTGTTTTGGTGTCGTAAGAGCATCTCCAATGGGAGGTTTTTATAAATAATGTATTACTATTACTTTTTTTAAATGACCACTTAACACCATTGGAGTAAACAAAATTTTGCTTTTTCAATTTGACCACTCAATATATATTGAGTGGTTAATACAGTATCATAAGTTGTATATTTAGCTCTTCCACTGTAAACATATTTTATTTATAAGTACTATGTAACATTTTCAATGCTTTTATTGTATTTTTAAAACTAAAACATAATAATTTTCATATTTTAGGTAGGGAAATCTCCAATAAATTCCTATTATTTTGCCCCTATTTACGAAAAAGTCCTAAACTAATAAATGTTAACGAAAAAGCATGGAATACCGGATAAACTGACGAATTGACCCATTTTACCTGGTTATTACTCTTGCAACCGGTAACAAATCGACGTGGCTTTATTTTGCTTACCTGAAAGCTGATCCGACCATACCTCAATCTCTCATGTTATTTAAGAATACACTAACCCTAAATCGACCAAATTGTAAGTCTTGAAGATGGCCTCCTCCTCCCCCTCCGTCTCCAACAGTAGTGCTTATAGGTCAGTCAGGAAAGTTCGAAGAAGGTGCGATTGTGATGAACCAGTTGGCAGGTGGATTTTTTGGAAACCGAATAACCCTATAAGGAGATTCCTTGGTTTCTCCAATTAAACGGTTAGTTTCTTCGAATATTTGAAATTAAATCCCATATTAGTTACAATGTGAGGTTTTCATCTTCGAATCTTTGAAATTGAACACCATAGTAGTTAGAATGTGCAAAATGTCGTCCAATCCAGGATAAGGAGAAGGATTGCAAATTCTTTGAATGGATATATCCTCCATTACCAAACAAATGGTACAAACAGATGATCTATGATTTTCACAACCACGGAATTCATGGAATCAATGATGAAAAATTTGAAGACTTTATGGATGAAGCTGCGGAAGAACTAGTGCAACAAATTCCTATGCAAGTGGAAGTGGAATTGATGTTAGGGGCTTGATCTTCTAATGTTAGGTATGAATTATGTTCCTATGCAGATGATCTTTGTTTGTATTTTGCAATGTAATGGTATGAATTGTGGAAAACTTGATCTTCTAATGTAATGGTATCAGATGTATGAAATACATATTGTAAAGTTATGTGATGACATTATAAACCATACCAAAGTACATATTCCAAAGCTTACTGCATTCACAATACCAAACTCAATTCACAATACAAACAAACATTCCAAATAGCTATAGGAAACTGCATGCAGTATACGAAACTAATAAATTAGTACCAAAATATAAAAATTCCATTCAACCACACAAATCACCATTGTTTATATAGGAAATATTTCATAGTGTTTGACTTTCCATAAAATTTACAAAAGGGGCAAATTTTTACCCAAAGAGTTATAAACTAAAGCCAACACAATGACTTAGTTACAAAAAAGGGCTACCATATCACAATCATTTTCCCTATTCTAAGTAAGTGCATTTTCTGCACTCATCCCAAGTTTGTTCACCACCAGGTTCTTCAACTTCAACTCAATGATCCTCTGTTATGGCTTCCTCTTCCTGATTTCTTAAGTGTTCCTCCTCCTGATTTCTTGGGTGTTCCTCCTCCTGATTTCTTAGGTATCCCCAACACCCTCTTCCTCATCATCACTCTGATCATGTTAAAACTCAGTATCTACCTTGCTCTTTTCTCCAATCATTGGTACTGTTTGAGTCTCTTCTTAAGTTACTTGAATTGGGTGTTGTGTAACACTTTCACTTTGAACATTGGTTTCTTGAATAAAAAACAAACAATTTTAGAAAAATGACTTAGATTTGTAATTCCCTTAAAAATAAACACTCACCACATTTATAGATCCAAATTCCTTCAATTGAGATTCATTAATTCCAAGGGCATCCATTATTTTACCATCACCGTAGTTTAATGACCTTAAATTTAGAACGAAGTTTACTATTATATCCATGTCTAATATATCAATGCCATCCCCCTCATCCATCACATCAGTTTCTGGTATAACCTCAAACTCAGGTGGCTTCTCAAATTTAAACTCATGTTTACACTCATACTCAAACTGTATGCCCTTTGAACTTTCCCCTA